ACATTTTGGGTTTTGGCTAAATTGACTTCTGCAGCATTTTCAGGTTTGATACTTGTTATTAACATACCATACAAGCGCCTCCTGATAGTGTTTTCCCTTCTACAATAACTTCTCCAGTTGAGTCTTAAAAAGTTTACAACCTTTTTTATCCATTTTCATTACAAACCCTTTATCCAATGTGGACTGTAATGACATCACATTAAGACTGAAATTGGGAACATACCATACATCAGTTAGGTAGTGAGTTTGCCATTTACCTTTTACACAAGTTTCAATTGTTATAGTTCCACTTCCATAAGCTATCAATTTTTCCTCACTTCCAACTTTAACAGTCTGTTGGGTAGGAAAATCCTTATAAGAAGTATACAAACTTGCATTTCTTGTAATGTGGTTAGTAGCTCCTTAGTTACCAATCCAAATGTCTTCATCTTGTTCATTGAATCTTTCAATGATCAAACTTTCACTTAATTTTGAATTAAGTTTTAATTTAGTTTCATCCTTTTCTTTATCCTTTAGTTTCTTCTGTTTTGCATACCTACAATCTTTGGCCAAGTGTCCTTTTCTATGACAAAAGTAACATTCTCTTGTTTCTCTTGTTTTCTGAAAATTTTCATTACTTTTGGTAACTTTTCCTTACATATTTTGCATATTTTCATATGCATTTGCCATTAGTGCTGTCGAACTTGATGTGCTGCATTCATCTCGCTGTTGAATTCTTATTTCGAGTAACCGCAGCCTTTGTGTGAGATTGTCTACAGAACGTTCTTCTTTAGACATTGATTTCCAAACACTTTTAAAATCAAAATATTCATCAGGCAAGGTGTTTATGATTCTGCACATCAGCATGGATTCTGGCAATTTAAATTTTTCTTGTTTAGTAAGTTCATTTTGCATTTCATTCCATAAACTTTCTAATTTTGAAATGTGCTTTGAAATATCATCTGTAGGATCCTTCTTAAAATTAAAGAATTGATTATAGAGCATGTCTATTCTTTGACCAGAGCTTTGCTCATAGACACTTAATTTGTCCCACATATCTTTAGCACTTGAGCAGGGAATGATTAGTTGACTTACATCAGGCATCACACTTGTTGTAAATAACAATTGGGATATTGCATCTTCACTTTCCCATTTTACATATGCCTCTTTTTCCTCATTTGTTTCTTGTTTTATTGGCTTTCTATATGTTCCATCAACAACGCCTATTACTTTGTTTATTGTTAAAAGCAATTTTATATTTTTCTTATATTCTGGCCAGTTTATTAATCCTTCCAATTTGGGAATATTCATACCCATTTTAATATCATCCATTCCAGCCATTACTAATATAAATTTTAACGTGATATACAAAATAGAATTCTTTTTAGGCTTACCGTTGCTTCGTTTTTGTTATATTTCGCAGTGAATGCGAGGTTGGGTCCATAACCTGTTGTGTTTTAACTTTAAAAGCACACAAAAATATAATAAACTTGAATTTGTTTATTCAAGTATCAAAAACAAAGCTTTACATATAGAACAAGTAATAATGAAGAAGAAGAAAAAATACATTTTAGGAAAAGGCAAAAACAAAACAAAAGTACTGGTCAAAAAGAAACATTTAAAATCACACAGATTAATATCTTCAACACGCATTATATTGTATTATAAAAGGAATATATGAATATAAAAGTATATATAGCATATTGTGTGTGTATGTATAGTATATTGTAAGTTTAAATATACTTAGAGAAAAAAAACATTTTTTTTTTCTTAACAGACCCAGGTACGCCCTTTTTTTATAAAATAATTTATATAATTTAAATTGACTAGAATGAGAAGTATAAGTAATAGTAGTATAAAGAGTTTACTTAACGAAACTAACAAAAATTGATTTGTAAAATGAATCAATAACTCTCTCTCGCGGTTATGGCACTTTGGCTTGAAATATATATTTTCAAATATATACAGTGTGCTTCAAAAGTTTTGAAAAACTTTAAAAATTAATAACCCTGCGAATATTTGAGCTAGAGCAATGCGGTAGACACCATTGTGTTCAGGTTGCAATGGGAATTTTATGGCAAATAATAAAATATTCAAAATAGATTTTAGTTACAATTTTATTCGCTAGATGGCGCTCTACCAGAATCAAAGATTCAGCGGCCAAATTATTTGATAAATTTAAAAATATAACAGATCGGCACGTATTTTCCCTTTTTGAATACCAGGAATGAACCCTTATAATATCAAATGAAAAACACTATTTCGCAAAAGGTAGAAGAATTAGATGACGATTTTTAAATGCAATCCGAGTTATTTAAAATAGGTAAATGCAGATTAAAATATGAAGCAAAAAAAAATGATACTTTAGATGCGGTTTTGTGAAATAGATTGAATGTTTGAAAAACACTGATGAAATAAATACACGATTTTTTTGAAATTTTAATATAGTAGCAAAGGTTTTGATGGCACTAATAATAACATTTCTTGCTATAAGAAATGTACAGTTTCTTGACAAATTGGCGACACTTGACTATTTAACTGGAAATTTGTCATGATCCAACAAATAATATGAAGAGGAGGGTGACAAAATCTATTTGTCGTTGTTTATTCCAAAAGCCTATGGGCTTGTCAAATGTTATAATTTCTTATTATACCGTACAAAATATCAAAATGTGTCCCCTCATAATAAAAATCATTTTTAGATCGACCTTTTGCGTTTTATAACGTAGTAGTAAAATAATTTTGTATTATATTTTTGCGCAAAATTTCTGAAGTGTGGGGTTTACAAAGAATATTCCTTATTCTATTTTTTTTCTAATAAGCGAAAAGCGATAAACTAAACATACGGGGTAAAATTGTGTGTACCAGTGTTATTCGAGAAGTTATAACACTTCTGTCTGCACGACATAATGTAAGATGTGGGCAGTGAACAAATGACAAAAAAAAACTTATATTACACTAGAGGTAACTGCCTATTCTCTTGGTTTAGCTCACAAACCTTGCTCAATGTGGCGCCCTTCATTTCCAAACACCGCCTGCAGACGAAATATGACAAGTTGGACAGCATTAAATAACATATCTGTTGAAATTGATGAAACGTGCCATCTGATAAAAGCCTTCAACATTGACAATGTTGTAGGCCGGCATCGATAAACACGCGTCTTAATATATCCCTATAGCCAAAAATCTCAAAGCGTCAAGTCTGGTGACCTTGTAGGCCAGTGGTATATAAGATGGCGACTTATCACACGATCTTCACCGAACGCATCCTTCAGAAATTGTTTGACACCGCGAGAGATATGAGGAGGTCCTCCGTCTTGCATGAATTATATTCGCTTAGTGGATGTCTGTCCTGCAATATGGGGATAACCTTTTCTCTCAAAGGTTTAACATAACTTTCACAAGTTTCGGAAATGGTTTTAAAAGTTCTTCCATTGATTTCTACAAAAAATGGCCCAATAATAAAGGAACAAGTGAACCACACCAAACAGTAACTCTGGCTAGGGTTTTCTGTTGCCCAAATGCGCCTGTTTTGAGTGTTAACTTCTCTGTCTATAAAAAGATGCCAGTTTTCATCAATATCAATTTGCCGGATAACCCATGCAGAGAATTCTTGACGCTTCTGAAAATCGCCGAATTTTAGTTAATGAAATCTTTAAATATTGTATGGGTATTTTTAAATAAAAATTCTTAGTGCTCTCCAAACTGTTCCATATGAAATCCCCTTTTGTCGAGGAACTTGTCGAGCACTTCATATGTGGATAACGTTGCAATAGCTTCAACATTCTGCGAAATCGTTAACAGCCACTCACTTGCATGTAGATGATTTTCCACTCAATGTTTTGCTTCCAGAAAAACAGTCTTCTCGAATTTTTTTATCATTCCCCTTAGAGAGTAAAAACTCATGGGTCCTTTACCGCTTTGAATACCTTTAAAGGTACGAAACGCTCGTAAAGCTTCAGTGGCAGATCTGAATCGCAATTAAAAAATATCAAAAAAGCGCTTTATCTTGTAGTGATGGCATTACAGAGTAAAATAAATTATCAGAGATAGATATACAGGGTGATCCAAAAGTCTTGCACTACTTTAAAAATAAATAACTCCGCGAATATTTGCGCTAGAGCAATGCGGTAAAAACCATTGTGTTCAGGACGCATTCGACGCATTTAGTTACAATTTTGTTCGCTAGATGGTACTCTACCCGAATCAGATATTCAGCGGCTAAATCGTTTGATATATTGAAAAATATTACTGATCAACACGTATTTTTTTTTCTTTTTGAATACCAGGAAATAACCCTAATAATATCAAATGATATATTAATGAAACAGCATTTCGCCAAAAGTAGAAGAATTGGATGACGAATTTTAAATGCAATCCGAGATATGTAAAATAGGTAAATGCAAATTTAAAAATGTAGCAAAAAAATGTATATTCCAAATGCGGTTTTCTGGAAATCTCTCAGCGATTTGAATTTTGAATATAATAAATTATCAATTTTTGATTTCAATTCTCTCTCAGCATCGATTATATTTATTCAATTCATTTGAAAAATATTTATCTATCTCTGATAATTTATTTAACTCTGGAATGCCGTCGCTACAGGATAAAGCACTTTTGGGTAAAATATTTTATTGCAATTAAGAATCTGCCACTGAAGCTTTACGAGCGTTTCGTACCTTTAAAGGTATTTGAAGCAGTGAAAGACCCATGAGTTGCTACCCTATAAGGCGAATGAAACAAATTTTGAGAAGACTGGATCTCTGGAAGCAAAACCTCGGAGTGAGACCATCGACATGTAAATCAGTGGCTTTTACGGTTTCGCAGAATGTTGAAGCTATTGAAACGTTATCCACGTAGAGAGAAGTGAGTAGAACGAAAATTGACAATTATGCCGCAAATGATTATTTTGAATGGAAAATCAAAATTTATTTTTAAGGAGAAACAACGATTATTTTCAACCTTAGGTAGAAGTATGATATGATGATTTGTAAAGAGTAATGACAAACGGAAAAATAAAGTGTCCAAGGATGGGAATCGAACCCACAGTGTTCAGCTTACCGGGAAGATGCCATGTCGACTAGGCTAGCCTGGACATATTTCCCTGTTCTTAAATAATATAAAATTTAAATTATGATACAATATAATGCGAATTATGATTGTAGAACGAAAATTGACAATTATACGGCAAATGTTTATTTTGAACGAAAAATCGAAATTTATTTTAAGGAGAAACAACGATTATTTCCAACCTTAGGAGAAATGAGTGCTCCACAAGTTTCTCGACAAATGGGAATTTCGTATGGAACAGTTTGGAGAGCATTAATTAATTTTTCTCTGAAAATACCCGTACAAAATTCAAATATTTCACGGGGCTAAAAATCGGCGATTTTGAGAAGAGTAAAATATTCGCTACATGAGTTTCCCGGCAAATCGATATTAATGAAAACTAGCTGTCTAATGTTCTGTGAACAGATGAAGCTCACTTTTCTCTAAACGGAGAATTTAACTATCAAAAAACCGCATTTGGGCAACAGAGAACCCTGGGAATTTTAAGGAAATGCCACTTCATCAGCCCAGAGTTACAGTTTTGTGAGGGTCCACTTATTCTTTCATTATTGGGCCATTTTTCTTTGTAGAATCAATGGAAGAACTTTTAAAACCGTTTTTGTAACTGGTAAACGTTATGTTCAACTTTTGAGAGAAAAGTGTATTCCCATATTGCAGGACAGACAAGCACTAAGCGAAATAACATTCATGCAAGATGGAGGACCCCCTCATATCTCCCGCGGTGCCAAACAATTGCACGTTCGGTGAAAATCGTGTGATAGGTTGCCACTTTATATATCAGTGGCCTCCAAGATCACCAGAATTGACGCCTTGCGATTTTTGGCTTTGGGGGTACATTAAGTCGCGTGTTTATAGATGCTGGCCTGCCACATTGGCCATGTTGAAGGCTTCAACAGACGGCACGTTTCATCATAATGAAAAAATGTATCAGATATGATTGTAAAACATCAGCAAATTCAAAATAGAGAATTCACGCTTATGGCAACACCAGCCAACAATGAACCTACTTCAACCATAATACAGGCTATTTCTGAGGATATAAAGAAAATTAGAGACAGGGGCACAAAGATAAAAATCAACAAAATATATAACACAAGAAGCACAGTAATTATTAAATTGCCTAATATGACAGAGATGAATTCACTTCAAGAGGAATTGAACAAATCTGAGGAATTAAAACCAATAAGCAAAATTTTGTTCCAAAGCAAACATATCCAAGAGTGGTGGTGAAAAACGTTTCCAAACTAACCGATACAACTACATTTGTAAACACGATTTGTATTATAAATCAGAAGCTGAACTAAATGGAAGATGAAATCAAGATATTATTCTGTTCAAATCAATAAGCTTGAGGGATAAGTCTCTTTCAAATACATTTATTTCAAGCTTTCGGGCACAACCGCCCTTCGACAGGAAAAATTATATTAGCTACTAAAGTTTTCGGATCTAATCTATATATACATTTGTGAGACGCCCGTGTCTCAAGTGTAATGCGAGGCTTGCCGCGGGAGGCCTCGCATTACACTTGAGACACGGGCGTCTCACAAATGTATATATATATTAGATCCGAAAACTTTAGTAGCTAATATAATTTTTCCTGTCGAAGGGCGGTTGTGCCCGAAAGCTTGAAATAAATGTATTTGAAAGAGACTTATCCCTCAAGCTTATTGATTTGAACATAATATTATGGGATTGCCTATTAATTGTTAGCCAAGATATTATTCGTAATGAAATCTAACACACCAACCCAAAACATAGTCCTGAGAGTTTCCCCAAAAGCCTATCAACTTATGAAAAGAATGAAAAATACATTATATACAGACCTAGAGTGTTGTCAGATACAAGATAAAATCCTAGTAAAACAATGCTAAAACTGTTTTCAGTTTAATTCAAACTATAAAACAAAAGAATGTCCAAGTATACAAATATGTTGCATCTGTGGAACTCAAGGCAATCACGTCTGCACAAAAGAGCTAAGATGTCATAACTGTTCAAAGCATCCAAGACTTAGGCATAGTCCGATTAATTATAAACCAAATACGAATGACTGTCCTCAATATAAACTGCAGGTTAATAGAACAGTGAGAAGAACTCAATATCTCATCGGTTCAGAAGAGGAATGAATAACTAATTGAGTTATGTATAAACATGGTGATCACTGCTTTACCATATTGAGGAAACATAAAATGTTTACAACAGAATATTAGAAAAAGTATGACAGCTTTAAACGAACTTACAATTCCAACAATTAATAATCCACCCGATATTATACTACTTCAAGAACTATATGTTTTGAATAAACAGGTTATATTTGATTTAGACTCTCCAGTAATTTATTCAAAAACTTCAGAAATTATTTACACAGCAACAATTATTGTTAAAAATATATATAATTCAAAAATTAGATAATTTTACAAATCAAATCTGTACTGCAATATCCGTCATAACCTCAAATTCGTTTGTAGTAATCGCAAATCTTTACTTTCATCCCAATTCCTGTAATGATACCCACTTAGAATTCATAAGAAACTTGATCAATACTTTTTCACATAACCCTATAGTCCTATGCGGAGATTTCAATTCCCGTCTTCCAATCTGGTTCGACAAAATAACATATTCGAATGGTTACAAATTGCAAACAATAATAAATGAAAATCACTTGTACATTCACAACGATAAAACTCCAACAGTAAGAGGGGCAAGTAAGGTATATCTAACAATCTCGAATAGACTTTCAATAAATATGATCAGACATTGGATCACCTCATCACTGACGAATATTTCTGATCATTTGGCAATTCAATTTTAAATTCACTCGAAATTCAATTATATAAAATATAAACAGAATTCTACATAGAAATTCAATGAAAAACACGTCAACTGGACAAATTTTTCCAAAAATCTCAAGTGTCAAGAATTTATAAAATTAAAGAACGAGGCAGATATGGTGGAAAATTGCATGGATATTGATAGAGTTGTAAACAAACTCACGGATAACATAATAGAAGCAGCTTACATATCATTAAAAGTAAAATCAAACAACTACACATACGATACAGGTATAGAATGGTGTAATAAAGAACTTGAACAAATGAAAACACATTTTCACTATGTAAGAAACTTATTTTATCACAGTAAGACTATCGATGCAACAAGATTCAAACAAGTCAGAAACAAATTTAATAATATGATAAAGAAAGCAAAGAGAAATAGTTTGAAAATTTTCATCGAAGAAAATGAATCAAATGATCCTTTTGGTAACGCATATAAAATTTTCAAAAAGCTAAAATCTTCAAAGAAGCAAAAAAGACTTCCCATAATAGAAAAAAAAATCAAGAATCAGAAAAAGAAAAACGCATTACAGACCTAATAAATACAGGGTGATCCAAAAGTCCCGCACAACTTTAAAAATTAATAAATCTGCGAATATTTGCGCTAGAGCAATGCGGTAAACACCATTGTGTTCAGGATGCAATGGGATTTTTATGGCAAATAATGAAAAATTCGAAATTGATTTTAGTTACAACTTTATTCGCTAGATGGCGCCCTACCAGAATCAGCGATTCAGCGGCCAAATTGTTTGATAAATTGAAAAATATAACTGAACGACACGTATTTTTCCTTTTTGAATACCAGGAAAGAACCCTAATAATATCAAATGATAAATTAATAAAACACCATTTCGCCAAAAGTTAGAAGTATTGGTTGACGATTTTTAAATACAATCTGAGATATGTAAAATAGGTATATGCAAATTAAAACATGTATCAAAAAATATTTATATTTTAGATGGAGTTTTGTGAAATAAATTGAATGTTTGAAATAACTACTGATATCAATACACGATTTTTGAAATGTTAATATAGTACTAAAAATTATTATGGCACTACTAATAGGATTTCGTGCTATAAGGAATGTATAGTTTCTTGACTAATTGTCGACACTTGACTATTTAACTGGATATTTGTCATGATCCAAAAATGAAATATAGAAGAAAGTGACAAAATATATTTGTCGTACTTTATTCCAAATATCCTATGGGTTTGTCAAATGTTATCATTGTTTATTATACTGTACATAATTTTGAAAATGTATCCCCTAAAAAAATCATTTTTAAATCGACCTTTTGCGTTGAAAAACGTGGTAGTAAAATCATTTTGTATTATTTTTTGCGCAAAATATCTAAAGTTGGGGGGATAGAGAGATTATTCCTTATGCTATTTCTTCTAATGAGCGAAAAGCGATAAACTAAACATAAGAGGTAAAATTGTGTATACCAGTGTTATTCGAGAAGTTATAACACTTTGGCCTGCACGACATAATATAAAATGTGGGCAAATGACAAACAAAAAAATTACTGTTTACAGAAAAAAAAAAGAGTCAAGATGTGAGGACAGCATTTATTATTCCCATAACCCAAAACAAAGAGCTGCAAAATATAACACATGAGGTAACTGCCTTCTCTCTTGTATTAGGTCACAATCCTTGCTCAATGTAGCGCCCTTCATTCTCAAACACCGCCTGCAGACGATAGATGACAGAATGGTCACAATTAAATAGTTGAAATTGATAAAAACGTGCCATCTGATAGAAGCCTTCAACATGGCCAATGTGGTAGGCCGGCATCGATAAAAACGCGACTTAATGTACCCCCATAACCGAAATTGTAAGGCGTCAAGTCTGGTGATATTGGAGGCCACTGGTATATAAAGTGGCGACTTATCAACGAATTCCACCGAACGTATCCTTCAGCAATTGTTTGGCACCGCGGGAGATATAAGGAGGTCCTCCATCTTGCATGAATGTTATTTCGCTTAGTGCTTGTCTGTCCTGCAATATGGGAATAACCTTTTCTCTCAAAAGTTGAACATAACGTTCAACAAGTTACGAAAACGGTTTTAAAAGTTCTTCCATTGATTTTTTCAAAGAAAAATGGCCCAATAATAAAAGACGAAGTGAACCAACACAAAACTGTAACTCTGTGCTGATGAAGTGGTATTTCTGTAAAAATCCTAGGGTTTTCTGT